GTCTAAGGAAAATAGATACGATTATAGAGAACTATCTGTGCATATACCTTTTTAATTTTTGCAAAGTTTCTCTTGACCCTATTGCTCCCTCTACTACCAACTGGATTGGGCTGGAAGGAAGTCCCTATTGCTCTTTGAGAGAATAATTTCATTAGTGAGAAACAAAACCAGTGTTCAAGAACTCTAAGAAGGAATGGATGGAACAGATATGCCTATTGATACACATATTATAAAGGACGTTTAGAAGAAAGCAGAAGACAGGGGATTTTAAGTTAAATGGACAGTGAGATTAAGAAAAAGCCTTCAATTTTGTATTGAATACTTAATTCACAATAAGCAAAAGGGAAGTTCCATATGTTTTTAGTTCAAAGGAAAAGTAACCAAAAAGAGAATTTTAGAAAAGTGAGGTGAAACTTCTCCATCTCCACATGGAAGAAAGTAGGGGAGAGATATGCAGAGGAAAAAACATGGTATGTTGATTTTCCAGTGAAGGTATGAGTGAGAGCTCACTTTATCTCAGCCTTATTTAGTTTTGTTTGTCTTCAAATAAAATTCAGTGGTTCACAAACATGATTGTGTATCAGAATCGGCCAGGTATCACATTGAGTCTTAGAATGCAAAAAAATTCTAATTCTTTGTTGGAGACAGAAATCTGGGTTTTTACTAAGCATCTCAAAGGATTTCCATGCTTGTATCCAATCTTTAAAAAAAGACTCTTGTGTGTTCATTTGCTCTATGAAGAGTAGAGATGTGTAAGGAAAAGGCTATGGGCTTGAGAATGAAGAAAATATAAATAAAAAGAATTTCTAATTGGCACTGAGCACCAACCAGTTAAAATCCAACATCATGGATCACACCTACCACCTTCTAGAAGGGCCACTGGTAGCAGATCACACAGAGCAAGTTTTCCAGATATGCACTAAGGGCTATTTGTTCTTGTTGTTGGGGTAGTTTGAGTCTGATATAAATGGAACATCTGAAGTTGATTATAATTTTAGTGGCAAGTAAAGTTTCAGATTTTAGAGAGAATCACTCCCAAAATATCATAATTATATCTTCAGATGTTGACAATGGAAGAAGGAAAATTATTTCAAATGTTTTCCATATACTCCACAAGCACAATGCAATACCTGGCATTTTTCCAAATATTTCTGGTATAAGTTAATTAGAAAACAGACAAAATGTTAGATAGAGGGATCAGGTAAAATCTAAGGGGGGGGTGAAAGTTTCCTCTTGCAGCACTAAAGTAAGAGAATGTCCTTAGAGGTGATTATCAGCCCCTCTTCTTTCCATAGCATCACCAGCCCCAGCTTTCCCTGTGGTCTCACATGAACCACACTTGGT